AGCATGTGGGAGGGTGGGAGTGGGTTAAAGACGGTGTTGAGGCCCAAGCGTGGAATGTTATGAAAATGCAAGAGCGTGGGGGGAGATGATTTTTTAGGCGCCTCAAAAATGTGATGAAAATGCCATGGAGCGTGGGGGGAGAGTGGGCCAAAGGCAGCGTTGAGGCCCAAGGGTGGGATCCGATGAAAATGCAAGGGAGCAGAGCAGGATCGCGTAAAGGTCACTGCAGACTCTTTCATCCGGCAAACTAGTCCTCGCAGTGCTTCTAAATTCTCCTCTCGTTTCTGTTGCTCAACGAAACCACTTCTTCTGCTAATTTCATCTTTCCTTCTGAACAGAAGAGTCTACCCCACCTGCTGCACTGCACGCATTACTCACCCCCTCCTTCCCCCTACCCCACACATGTTGCACCCATCCCCCTCTCCCCTCCCAACGCCTCTCTTTCCCTCTTCAATTGCGCATATCAGCCTTCCCAACCATCCCCCTCCTCCCCTCTCTCCCCCGCCCTCTCCTCCCCCCTTGTCCCCCTCACCTGCTGCACGGCGCACATGAAGTCGAAGTCAGGCTGCGAGCAATCTCCCTTTGCTACGGTGCCCACTCCCCTTTCGTCCCAGCCTCCCCCGCTCCCTCCCCCTACTCAGCTCGCATCCCCCTTGCCCAACAATCTGCCCCGCGCCCGCTCCCCTTTCCCCCCCATCTCCCTCCCTCCCCCTACTCCCCCCTTCACTGCTCACCTGCTGCACGGCGCGCATGAAGACAGATTCAGGCTGCGAGTACACGCCCTTTGCTACGGTGCCCACTCCCCTGTCGTCCCAGCCTCCCCCGCTCCCCCTTGTCTTCCACCTTTCCCTCCCCCCTCACCTGCTGCACGGCGCGCATGAAGACAGATTCAGGCTGCGAGTACACGCCCTTTGCTGTAGTGCCCACTCCCCCTTCCCCCAGCCTCCCCCGCTCCCCCTTGTCTCCCCCTTTCCCTCCACCCGTTCTCACCTGCTGCACGGCGCGCATGAAGACGGAGTCGGGCTGCGAGTACACGCCCTTCATCTCGTTGAACACCACTCCTGCCGGATTCGAAGCAGGGCCGTGGAGGCATGGGGTCATGGAGAAATGGGGGCTAAATCCCGGGACGAGAGGGACGGGAAGACACGAGGAAGAACCACATGCACTTGAGTGACACAAAGATTGATAAATTCCATAGTGAATCAAAGTGAGTTATAACTTCTTAAAACCGGGGTACACATTCAGGATGGGCAACAGTAAATTTGGGGGTTTAGGGCAAATTTGGCCGTAATGTGGGCATCGAGGGATTACCCCTGATGCCCACCCAGATGAATGTGCAACCCGGTTTTAAGAATACCCATGGGAGCACACCCGGTGCACCCTGACTCCCGCAAATCCCATCCGTCCAATCTCACATTTCCACCAAGATCTGAGCCGTCCACACTGCATCTTGAAGTTTAATCATAGCCGTTGATCTACCTTTGAAGGTGATATCATCCCTGGGATCATCGAGCTCGTAGTGTCACCCCTCCCGCTTTGAGCCGACTCTTAAACACATTTAAGTGTAAATGTAGCCCTTGGGATCATCGAGCTACCTTTGAAGGTGATATCGTCCTTGGGATCATCGAGCTACCTTTGAAGGTGATATCGTCCTTGGGATCATCGAGCTACCTTTGAAGGTGATATCGTCCTTGGGATCATCGAGCTCGTAGTGCCACCCCTCCTGCTGGAACGTCTTCTCGTCGCGTACGCAGTTGGGGAAGAACACCGCGTCCAGGTACACGTCCACCAGGTTGTAGAAGTCCTGTAACGGATTGTAACGGATTGAACAATAACGGGGTATATTAATAAGCCTCTCGAAACACCGCGTCCAGGTACACGTCGACTAGATTGTGAAAATCCTAACGGATCGCGCAATAGCGAATCGGAAATAGTACAATTAAGGATGGAGTACTGTTAAAGGCCGTAGATCGAAGTGTGACGAGGGTGCTTATGGGGAAGCGATACAGAGGTGTGCAATTCGGTACAGTGGCTTCGGATCCATGTCTCTCTCTTGTCAAGTGTTTCAGCGTGCGGATCTTTTGCATTACGCGAACCGGCGCGCGAGTCGCAGACCACGTCAAAGACGCTGCAAGACGCCTTACCTGCAGGTTCGTGGAAGCTACGGGGTAGCACGTGCGGTCGGGGTAGGTGAACGCGTTAAGGAACGTGTTGAGCGAGCCCTTAGCGAGTTCGACGAAGGGCTCTTTAACGGGGTACTTGCGCGAGCCGCACAGCACGGAGTGCTCGAGGATGTGCGGAATGCCCGTGCTGTCCTTGCTGTAGCGCGGAAGGGGGGGACAAGGGGAGAACAAGGAGGAGGGAAGAGGGGGGGGGGGGGGGGGGGGAGGGGGGTTGAAAGGAGGCGCTAGGAAGAAGGAGGCGGGGGGGAGGAGGGAAGAAACGGGGGAGGAAAAGTAGGGGGCAGGAAGGGGGAGTTCCCAGGCGGCATATGAGCACAGACAGCAGAAAGGAGAGCGGTTTTAAGCGAGGCGCTGATTTCGTTCGTTCTACTTCTCGTTATTCTTTCTCTTGTCGTTCCGAGGGGACACATGGAGAGAGAAATATACACGACCGTTGAGCCATTTCGAGTTGGTTTTTGGGAATTCTCAAAAACCAAAATCTACACGACCGTTGAGCCATTTCGAGTTGGTTTTTGAGAATTCTCAAAAACCAAAATATACACGACCGTTGAGCCATTTCGCAAACTCACGAGGGCGAGCGGAAGGTGATGCCTTTTCGCGTACTCACGGGGGCGTGCGAAAGGTGACGCCTTTCCGCGGACTCACTAGGGCGTGCGGACTCACGGGGGAGTGCGGACTCACGGGGGAGTGCGGAAGGTGATACCGAAGACCTTGTTCTCGTCCGCGCAGCAGAGCGACATGATCTGCGCGCCCGTGCGCACGTGGCGGTACACCGTCGCCTCCGCGTTGTACTCCGCCACGTGCTCGCGCCTCTCCTCCTCGAACCCCAGCCGCGCCACAACCTCGGGACTCGCCGCTGAAAAAAAAGGCGGGGGAAATGAGTGGGGGAAGTCACGGGGGTAAGCTAAGGAAGCAGCGGAAACACGCGCATGGAGAGCGTAAGGCGAGGGAGATCGACGCGGTGGCGGGTGGATACCGCATTCGGCGGTCAACGCTGAGCAAAAACTAAACGGACGAGTCGAGAAACGGAATCTAGAGGCAGGCAATCTGAAAACGCATATTGAAGCCAGGAAAGGTGGCTTTTTGAGAGAATTCTTAAAGACGCCTGAAACGACGGCAGAACCAAGGTGGCTAGTCGCAAGGATGGCGGACCTTGCAGGCTGGCGGGAGCCGTAGCGACGGATCCGGACGGCGCAGCGGAGCACGACACGCGCGGAATTCGCGCAGCATTTGCGGCCAGCTTCCGCGCAAGAACCGCTGACGGCGCAACGGTTCCGCCAGTCAGCCTACGCAATCCGCGCCATGGCTCCCCGCGCAACCCACGAGGAGCGGCGTTCGGGATCTGAATAGCCCCTCTCCGCGACGCGGGATGCGCGCGTGGAACTGCGGAAGGTGCAACAGCAACCGCGGAACTGCCAGTGGCGGTTGAAAGAGCGCCTGACATAACTGGTGACGTCAGCGTGCGGAGAGCGGAGTACGGGGAAGCGCGCGATGCGGAAAGGTATGGAGAGGCAGCCACTGATGCCAATGGCAAATCTCTCGGTAGAGGAACCGTCCGTGGGGCTAAGAGCGCGAAAGACGGGCGAAATCGGACCAGAAGCGCACGAGCAGCACCAGACATTAACCCAAAACTAACGATAAACTCGGAAATAAACGAGCTTGCTGCCTAGTGCGTCAGCCACTGCTACCGACCTGACCAGGAATCTCAAGCCCCTTCAAACCAACTGTATCGTCCCTCAAGGCTAGAAAATGGTGCTGCGCGGATTCTGGAGAGTGTGGGAGAGTCCAGTGGGGAATGTTCCAGCTGGATAACTGCGTGCGGGGAAGGGGCTGAAGCGGGGAGGGGGGATTTCTCGGGTGGGGGGAGTGTGGCGGGAATCAGTGGTGTGGTGGTGTGCGGGAAATTTCTGGCAGGGGGATGCACGTGGACAGCTGGAAGTGGTGCGATTTTTGGGGTGACGTGGTGTACCTCGTGGATGGGTTACGAGATCACCACGTGGAGAAACGAAGTGACCAGTGCTGGTGAAGGTCTCCAGCAGGGGGTGCTTTCGTGAAATCGTAATTTGATCACATTCTTTCTCCCTGGAACTCGTAAAACTGTACACATCCTTACCTAATCATTTCCAATCGGGTACTGCAAAAGCGCGAATTCATTTTTGTCATTCTGGGAGATGCCTCCCTCACCACACCGCACCCAACCATGCATGACGCTTGGCCGTCCAGTTCATTTTCCACAGATCCTCCAAGCACAGGTATGCGGCCTGAGTTCTAGTAGAGCCCCTAGGAGTTCCCACTGCTTGTAGCTTGGTTGGACTAGCTCACCGATCCCGGAGTTTCGGTCGCTTCTGTGGCGTTTGACCGTACTCTTACGTGGCCGTTAGCTGCGTGCACGTCGCACCGTGGTTCGCGGGGGCAAGGTCGTTTCTGGTTTTTTTTTTCCCCAACACCATGGCGAGAGGTTCGGTTTCTGGTCTGGGAAGGCTCAGACTGCTTCTAGCCTCCGCTAGACCGTCCGATCAAACCCAGCGATTCGTCACCGTCCATCCCACGATCTCGCATCTCGCATCTTCTCACGCCGTTTCGCCAGCAGCCAGCACGTGTGCGGATCTACCTCCCCCGCATACACCTCGCGATCCGCCATCCACCCATGCTTCATATGTCCCCGTCATTCCATCTCTCGGAACCGTCAGTGCCAGATCCGTCACCGTCGAACCCGTTAGTGCGAGATCCGTTAGTAACGCCACTGCATTCGCTGGTACACTGGCGAGTCACTCACTCTCGATAACTTCCAGATCCGTGATCGCCGCTCCATCTGTGATGACGCCATCCGCATCGTCGCGTACGTCACATCCGTTCTCGCCGCCGTCGCTTTCGTCGCCGTCTCTGTCGTCAGCGTCCGCTCGGACCTGGCTGCTGGCCGCCGGCGCCTCATTCTCTTTGGTCGCCGCGTTTTCCGGGACGGCAACGGTGGCGGCGAAGGAGCGGCCCGAGGTGGATCTGGGTCGCGACGCTGAGGTGGTGCTGTACCAGTACGAGGCGTGCCCTTTCTGCAACAAGGTCAAAGGTACATTTTTTAATGGCATCCTTCGCTGAAATACCGTGTTGTGGGAACGTGCCGTGTTGTGGGAACGTGCTGGTATTCCCTGTTGCCTATCCTGGTAATGCACGTCAACTTCAAAACGTTTCATCGTCAACCGCGGCCTGTTCCATTTCCGTGCGCTCCTTGTTTCCGCATCCTTCCTGGACTACTACGACATGCCGTACCGCGTGATGGAGGTGAACCCCGTGGGCAACAAGGTTCCCATGCTCGTCTCCTCGTGAATGGGGCGTTGCTCGTCAACCGCCGCACGTGCTCCCCCCTCTCTCCTCCTTGCCGCCCCTCCCTCTCACACAGCTTTCCTGGACTACTACGACATCCCATACCCTGTGGTGGAGGTGAACCCGGTGGGCAACAAGGTTCCATGCTCGTCTCGTCGTAAATGGGGAGCCTCTCGTCGTTTCCTCACTTGCTTCTCTCCTCCCTGTCAACTCAACAGCTGCGTCTCTTCTCCTTGTCGCCTCTTCTCCCCATCACAGCCTTTTGGACTACTACGACATACCGTACCGCGTGGTGGAGGTGAACCCCGTGGGTAAGAAGGAGCTCAAGTGGTCGCCCTACAAGAAGGTCCCTGTGCTCGTCGTCAACGGCGAATCCCTGGTCGACTCCTCAGGTGCTGCTCCCCTCCTCGTCGACCTCTCAGGTCTTCCTCTTATCCCTTGTTGTCTTGAGTCGTCTCAAGGAGCTCAAGTGGTCGCCCTACAAGAAGGTCCCTGTGCTCGTCGTCAACGGCGAGTCCCTCGTTGACTCCTCAGGTGCTGCTCTTGTCCCTTCTTGTTCCTTGCTGTCTTGAGACTTCTTAAAGCTCAAGTGGTCGCCCTACAAGCAGGTCCTCATGCTCGTTGTCAATGGCGAGTCTCTCATTGACTCCTCAGGTGCGGCGCCTTCTTGGCCCTACTTCTCTTACCATTCCTTGTGAGTCGTCTCAACAAGGAGCTCAAGTGGTCGTCCTACAAGCAGGTCTCCGTGCTCGTCGCCAACGGCGAGCCGCTTGTCGACTCCTCAGGTGCTTTGCTTTTCTTCTCTTCCTTCCCGACCTCCCATCTCTCCGCTGCGCCAAGCGCGCCATCGAGCCGCATTACAGCGATGCACCCTCCCTTGGTTGCATTTCCTTAACTGTACACCACTCCCCCGTTCCCCCTTCCCTTCCCCGTTACCCCTCCCCCGTCCCCTGCCCTCCCCACCCCTCCGCGCGTCAGCCATCATATCAGAGCTCCACCGCCGTCTGAACCCCTCCAAGGCCACCAACATCCCGCCCGCCGCCCCTGCTGCTTCCGCCGCCGCGTCCGCCGCGGCAGCGTCCGCCCCTGGCGCATATGCCAGCGCCATCGGCGGGGGGAGTGGCAGCAGCGTGGGGGGGACTAGCAGCAGCGGGGGCGGCGGAGTGGCGGAGGTTGTGGGGCACGTGGGGGAGCGGGGCGTGGCGGAGGGACAGGCGGAGGAGGATCTGGACGAGGAAACGAGATGGCGCAGGTATGGTCTGGGGGACATGGGGGAGAGGGGGAAAGAAGGAGTGGGGTAGGAGGAGGGGCGAGGGGCAGGCGGAGGAGGATCTGGACGAGGAAACGAGATGGCGCAGGTATGGTCTGGGGGACATGGGGGAGAGGGGGAAAGAAGGAGTGGGGTAGGAGGAGGGGCGAGGGGCAGGCGGAGGAGGATCTGGACGAGGAAACCGGATGGCGCATGTATGTCTCTCACTCTCTAGTCCTTGTCTCATCCATCGCATACATGCATGCATGTATAGCAGGTGGGTGGACGGGCACCTGGTGCATCTGCTCTCGCCCAACTACCGCCATTTGAGGCACCTCAAAAGCTGTGTGCGTCTCTCATTCTCTCCCTACTCCCTCTCTCCTCCATGGCAGGTGGGTGGACGGGCACCTGGTGCATCTGCTCTCGCCCAACTACCGCCACTTGAGCACCTCAAAAGCTGTGTGCGTCTCTCATTCTCTCCCTACTCCCTCTCTCCTCCATGGCAGGTGGGTGGACGGGCACCTGGTGCATCTGCTCTCGCCCAACAACTACCGCCATTTGAGGCACCTCAAAAGCTGTGTGCGTCTCTCATTCTCTCCCTACTCCCTCTCTCCTCCATGGCAGGTGGGTGGACGGGCACCTGGTGCATCTGCTCTCGCCCAACAACTACCGCCATTTGAGGCACCTCAAAAGCTGTGTGCGTCTCTCATTCTCTCCCTACTCCCTCTCTCCTCCATGGCAGGTGGGTGGACGGGCACCTGGTGCATCTGCTCTCGCCCAACAACTACCGCCATTTGAGGCACCTCAAAAGCTGTGTGCGTCTCTCATTCTCTCCCTACTCCCTCTCTCCTCCATGGCAGGTGGGTGGACGGGCACCTGGTGCATCTGCTCTCGCCCAACAACTACCGCCATTTGAGGCACCTCAAAAGCTGTGTGCGTCTCTCATTCTCTCCCTACTCCCTCTCTCCTCCATGGCAGGTGGGTGGACGGGCATCTCGTGCATCTGCTCTCGCCTAACATCTACCGCTCGCCCTCTGAGGCGCTAGAGGCGTTCGACTACATTGCCACCAATGGTAATGCTTCTTCCCCCTCCACCTCTGCTCTGCTGCTGATTCTTGGGTCGACTCACAGTCACCTCTGAGGCGCTAGAGGTCTTTGACTACATTGCCACCAATGGTACTGCTTCCCCCCCCACCACCTCTGCTCTGCTCTCTCTAGCTCCCATTTCTGCAGCATGTGTTCGGGAGAGAAGGTCCGTGCTCCCTTCAATGCTTCCCCATCCCACCCACCACCTCCGCTGCTGCACTTACGAATCGACTTATGAGCGTGCGGTGCAGCGTATGAGCGGAAGGTGCAGCGTATGAGCAGGCGGTGCAGCATATGAGCGGGCAGTGCAGCGTATGAGCGTGCAGTGCAGCGTATGAGCGTGCAGTGCAGCGTATGAGCGGGCAGTGCAGCGTATGAGCGGGCGGTGCAGCGTATGAGCGGGCGGTGCAGCGTATGAGCGGGCGGTGCAGCGTATGAGCGGGCGGTGCAGCGTATGAGCGGGCGGTGCAGCGTATGAGCGGGCGGTGCAGCGTATGAGCGGGCGGTGCAGCGTATGAGCGGGCGGTGCAGCGTATGAGCGGGCGGTGCAGCGTATGAGCGGGCGGTGCAGCGTATGAGCGGGCGGTGCAGCGTATGAGTGGGCGTGGGAGTGCACAATAGCACGGTACTTAGGAGCGGGCGCCATGTATGTGGTTGGCAAGAAGGTCAAGAAAAAGCACGGCATAGTGGACGTGTCCTCTATCTGTGAGAGTCGACTCAACAATCCCTTCTCCTTCTCCCCCCTCTCGTCCCCCATGCAGGCAACTTCACGGCATGGGAGCGCATGATGGCTCGGTACTTCGGCGCGGGCGCCATGTACATGATCGGCAAGAAGCTCAAGAAGAAGCACGGCATAGCGGACGAGCGCACTGACCTCTACACGGCGGCTGATGAGTGGGTGGCAGCTCTTGGCGACAGGAAGTTCCTTGGTAAGTTTCAGTGGGGGGTAAGTGGAGTCAGCAGGTGTGCATGGAGTGAGCAGGTGTGCTCTTGTTCCGCTCAAAACACACAGTCGTTTACAAGGTGGCTGACCAGTGGGTCGTGGCTCTTGGCGGCAGGAAGTTCCTCTGTTGGCTGTCTGTGGAGCGCTTGGGGGTGCATGGAGTTGTGTGGGGTGATTGGGAAAAGTGTGCTGCATGTTCCAAATCATTGGCCTGGGAATAAGTTTTTATGCAGTGGCTGGTGAAGGTTTCTATGGGTGGGTCGGATGTGTGGCATGGAGAGTGACCCTGTGTGTGCTCCTCTGCTGCTATCCTGCCTCTGCTGATTGCCATGCTATGTTGGTGTGCCCTCTCTCTTCGCTGTTGGTGTGCCCTCTCTCTTCGCTGTTCACTGCTTCCGTTCCGTCAGGAGGAGAGACCCCGAACCTAGCTGACCTGGCAGTGTTTGGAGTGCTGCGGCCAATCAGGCACCTGACAGCTGGCAGGGACATGGTGGCGACTTCGAGCATAGGGCCGTGGTACGAGCGCATGGAGCAGCACGTGGGGGCTTCTGCTAGGATCACCGCTGCTGATGGTGCTGCCAGTGATGCTGCTGTTGGCAAGTAAGGATAAGGTGCAAGCAGGCATGACGGGTTTGAGATTTCGACCATAGGGCCATGGTACGAGCACATGGAGCAGCGTGTGGGCTCCTCTGCCAGGATTACCTCTGCTGATGCTGCGGCTGATGGTGCCGCTGTTAATGGTGCTGCTGCAGCCAAGTAGGGCTGTGAGATTCCCCGGGGGCAAGACGGGGTTAAGAGAATTCGTAGCACAGGTCCATGGTACACGACACGCCCATGGAGCAGCACGCTTGGGCGCTTCTGCCAGGATCACCGCTGCTGACAGTGGATGGTTGTGTAGCGGAAATTGCCCCCTAGTCGACTATGTGAGCCACTATAAGTGTCCACATGCGGGAAATGGCATATTGTCATTGCTATGCCATGGGGGCAGTGTGCATTGAAAGGGTGGTGGTTTGTGGTTCAGGTGATGAGATGTGACTCAGCTCGGTAGTAGCTGGCTCCTGTTATCGGTGATAGCTAATGTGTGCGGTGTGGAGGCAAAGTAATGGATTATATGGACAATCTATGGTTGGCTCAATCACCATTCTTTACACCAGCCAGTTATCTCATAGCATGAAGAGCGATCCAGGGACCAGGTGTTACTAGTATGACATCCACATGTGAAATTACTGTAGAGCTACGGTAGGTAAGCCAATGTCCCTAGACAAAACTTTGCATAGTAATGAAAAGCTCTTTGAAAGGAAACCTAATAAACCAGCCACTGTGAAATGCTTTGAACAGCTCCCTGAAATCAGAACCACACTCTCCATCTCCCTTGTGTCGTCATCGTTACGGTACATCCATCATGGGCAATCTCCCGTGGCTGGCTGGTTTCACTGTACATTGTACGTAGGGCAAGAATTTACGACCCACGCGGTGAAAACACGTCACCATCTCCACTCCACCCTCCCATCCGGAGTTCACAAGCACAGCGAAATCTCCAAATCGCCTTGTTCCCCTGCCCTCGATCGTCTGGAATTCGAGCGACTGCTTTGCTGCCACAAGTGGGGAATGATCATACTGGGGCCTCGGATTAGCAGAAAGATTGCCAACTTGGGGCCTCGTGATTCGCGACCCTACGAAGAAGGCCCGAAGCAACCTACAAGCCTAGGCAGCTAGGCCGAGCTCGCCAGGTCACCACCTGCTGGCTTGGGTTTGACGGATTTCGCTAGCACCCTGGTTGACGGGAGGAGCCCTCGTCAGCCCATTCACAATGGGCAGTACAGATACTTCAGCGAAATAACCCAAACTTTTAACATTATCGCAGTGTGAAAAAAATATAAAACCGAATCGAAAGGCATAAAATTAGTGAGGCATCAAGCCTAAACACATGCGACAAGGTGTTTAGGGTTGATGCCTCCCTGACCGAATGCATGGCCGTATGGGGTTTATATTTTTTGCCAGCTTGTCCGTTCAGAAATCCGTCACCTCGTGTGGTCAGGTCTGACGGAGCGCGTTAGTGAGGCCCGAAATTGGTTAGAGACAGGTCCGGACCAGGTTCGACACTTCGCGAAACACGAGGCCCCAAGTTGGCACTCTTTCTAGAGCTTCGGGGCCCCAATCTGATCATTTCCCGCCACAAGTACATGGCGCTTTGTAGTCCTTCCACATGGTGCTCGCATGGCTGAGATTCATCTTTTGCATCTCTCCTATTGTCTTTATCCCCCCGTCAACCGCTCAATCCCGCCCAGCCCATGCAGCTTCGCTGCTTCCACCATCATGTGCGATTTTGGATCCAAAATCCACCGCCTCTCAAAGCCGACAGTAGGAGATTCGCACTCTCCACTTGGCCTGTGCAGCTCGAAGGAGCAACATAGACTGTGCTTCCACTCCACGCAAGGTCCAAAGACGACGCCATGGATACATTGCCTCGTTTTCATTTCCCGAAGCCTTCTGGAGATACATTCTACAACAGCGCCATTTCCATTTCCAACTGCTCCTTACGGGGTTTTCTTGCCTTGGTTTGCGAGCATTCTACGCCGAAAAACACTCCTCTTACTCCTACTAGAATCCACAACCATGGCGGCTGCAGCCCCAGAACCCAGGACGTTAGAGCGCCTCTGCTCGGCCAAAATCGCCAAGCACCTCAAGCGCGCCTCGTCCCTGCTAGGCTCGGGCGACCTGTGGCAGATGCACGCCGACGCAGACGAGGCAAAGGCGGCCGCTCAACGCGGTGACGGCGCGGGCTCCACGCGACGGCCGTGGAAAATGAGCAGCATGGTCGCGCGCATCGAGACGTCGCTGTCGCGCTTCACGTGGCGGAAGCCGCCGCCTTCCCCCACCGCCCCGAGTAAACCCCCCAGATCGCCAATAGCCGCGAGTGTCACCGCCGATCCGCCAGCACTGTCGCCGAAATCGCCCAATCTCGCGTCGAGGAGGTTCAAGCAGCGCTGCGCCGCAGAGTCGCAGATTCAGTTCCGCGTCTCCCCGTCCCCGCTCGTCTCCGCCGCTTCCGCCTTTGCGGGACTTGATTCCGCTGCCGCCCGCAGGCGCAATGCTGCGCACGCCACGGCGGAGGAGAACGTCGGTCGCGGGGCGTCCGCTGCTCGACGCGTGCGGGCAAGCCTGAGCATGGATGAGGGGCAGCTGCGCGCATGGGAGCAGCACGGCGCAACAACGCCTTCTGACGCCGTTGACAAAGACAGTCTTGACAGGAATGATGTTACGACTGGCGACGTTTTGTTTCCGAAGAAGCCGGCGGAGAATCTGGATCTGGGAAGTTCGGGCCGTGCTGACGTGCCAGAGGGGTCTTCCGCGCGATTGGCGCATTCCAACGAGCGGTGCACTCAGAGCGGCCTGCTGCAGCGGCGGAGCGACGACAACCGGCCGAGCAGCAGGGCCACATACAGCCCTGCTCCTAGCGGCAGCGGAAGGGCCGCGGCTAAAAGTCCCGCTACTAGTGGCAGCGGAAGGGCCACAATGGGGAGCCCTGCTGCTAGCGGCGGTAGTGGGAGAGGCGGCAGCAGCAGGGCTATGGTGGTTGGCGTGTCGCGGTCACTCACTCCGCCTTCCAGCCCCACTGTTAAGACGTTCTCGTTTGAGGCGTATCGGCAGCAGCAGATGGCCGCGCAATGATGTCCTGGGGTGTGCGCCTCACTGATTGTTAGTTGGTCCCTGCGGCGTGTGATGAAAAAAATTTGCCGCATCTGCGTGAGGCGGAGAATTCTCGATAATTCAAGCTTCAAATAGCTCCTTCCTGTTCGTGAAGAACGAGGAGAACCACTGCGGTTCAGATCTGTGGTTCGCACACTAGGTAACGTGTCCAAACACACGTGGGCGTTTCTTCTAGTATCACCCCTGCTGAAGATGCTTCTGCTGGTGTTGCTGGTGATGCTACTGCAGGCAAGTGGGGCTATGAGGTGCCCTTTGGCGCGATGCGTCAGGGAATTCGAGCATAGGGCCATGGTACGAGCGCTTGAAGCAGCACGTGGGTGCTTCTGCCAGGATCACCGTGTGCTGAGGCTGGTGCTGCTGTGGGCAAGTAGGGCTGTGAGATGCTCCGGAACTACATGGGGTTAGAGAATTCGAGCATAGTGTCATGGTACGAGCGCTTGAAGCAGCACGTGGGCGCTTCTGCCAGGATCACTGATGCTGATGGTGCGGCTGTTAATGGTGCTGCTGCAGGCAAGTAGGGCTGTCAGATGCCCTGGGGCAAGATGGGGTTAGAGAATTCGAGCATAGGGCCATGGTATGAGCGCATGGAGCTTCAGTGGGCGCTTCTGCCAGGATCACCGCTGCTGAGGGTGGCACTGGTAATGGTGCTAGTGATGCTGCTGCAGGAAAGTAGGGCTGGGAGCTGCCAGGGGGCAAGATGGTGGCAAGGGCCAAGTGTCTGCACTGATAGGGTGGTGATCTGTGGTGCAGGCGATGCGACTAGGCTCTGTAGTAGCATGCTCCCGACTATCCAGTTGCATCTATGTAGGAGCCTAGGAGGTTTGTTGGGCATTGAGTTTGGTAAACCACTTGCTTAAAGCTCGCGTCTCATATTTCTGCCATCCAACCAAGTGTTAAACGGTTGGAATCTGGTGACAGCAGAGTTTGTCGCAAAGCACACCAAAGCAAGGGGTGGTTTGGGAAAGTTGGCTGTTGCACGCTTCCCCGTGCACACCAAGCATTTACAACTTCTGAAAATCTGAGACACTGAACTCAACGTTGACAGAACCTGGGACCAAACCTGTCCCCCTTGGCTCGTTTTACACCCAAACCAACCCACCCTGGTTGCTTTGGCCTCGACTGTTTGGGAGCTCGCTGTGCTTTTTTCTCCCACTCGTCAAATATTTCGTCTTTCGTTACCCAATCACAGACGGGCAAACCCAACCAAGTGTTAAATGGTTGGAATTCTGAGATGCGAGCTTTAAAGATGTGAAATCAAGTCTACATGCGTTGATGGTGTTACACCTATGCATTCAGGCATGCTGCTGAATGATTGACACTCGCAATGCAAGGTAAGACTTTTGAAAGGCTACTTTAATACTCGCGGTACACCATACTGTCTTAAAGTGTTTCCTTTTCATATTGCGGTACCGGATCGGATTGTACAGCTGGCTTTGTGAGGGAAGGTGACGCCGTGCCATGTTGGTGTGAAATGAATCTGCGACTGTGGGTCGTGACTGGAGAAACAATCACGTGACGCAATCGGTTGCTACAGTGCAACATCAGCTTTGGCTGGATTTGTTTGGGTTCACGCGTGGTGGAAATATCACGAAAGTCCACGTCACATCCGTGTCTGTTTTTGAAGATTTGGGCCTGGTTTCGCTGAGTGTGGGACAGCTGGAACCCAAGCGAGTCCACGTCCAAAGTATTTTTTTTTTTTTTTTTGTCACTCTTATGGATGGCCTTCATGAATGCTGATCAGGACTGGCCCAGATCGCCTCTGATCGGTGCTGATCTGACTTGGTCTGTTCTGACCGGGTTGCTTGTGATTGCATTGCTCGCGCCGCCCGATCAGAGCTGATATTCTTAGAAAATTCAGAGCAAATTCCCCGCACGCGCTTCAGCATTTCCTTATCCTTTTGTCCCAATTATTCATCGTTTCCATGAAATGTCGCAAATTTCACTTTAAAGGGTTCATGCACGATGTTTGGACGACCTCAACGAGAAAATGTAACTGTTTCGTAAGCGTCGCCAAGATCTCCAATCCCGTGCAATCAACTGATCGTTACTGATTGTATGTGATCTTGATTGATTGGGGTGTTTGAGGCGGTTGATTGAGTTGGGGCGATCATTTGATCGCGATCCATTGATTGCCCCTGATTGCCTGAAATCGGCCGCAGGGCTTCCTGGAAGTTGGTGTACCTCTGATCGAGGCAAACAGAGGCGGTCTAGGCCGAGTCCTTATTTGGGGAAACCTGAAGGGATCACTCGCTACCCGGAATATGTCCACCCACTGCGCTGCGAATGGAATATCTGTTGTGTGCATCTCCACGGTGGTGGGCCGAGCATTGCGATGCGATTCGTGAAGCGAAATCTGCAATTTCCCGTTTCTCCTTCACCCGAGCGGTCTGCTTGTACGTGAATCCACTGCCCTCAACTCGACTGGATTCGGGCGATCGTTTATTCGTGTCTGTCCCTTTCTGTCCGTGATGTAATGTGACCCGTCCCTGCCCCAGTCCCTCATGTGATGGAATCCAATTTGAGACGGCGTCCCAGTGGCCGAATTTTAGAATCCACGCTTTGCATTTCTCCAATTGTCTTTCCCTTGCTCAAGCAGGCAGCCCATCCGGCTCGGGCAGCTTTGATGTTTCTCATCCCAGGTTGGGCTGGGAAGGGATGGGATCAGAAAGGGATAGGTAGAACAACGAACCTCATGGTGTACTACTAATACCAGACCACTCGCATTTTCTTTCGCCAAGCCTCCCGAGTTATACAATCTCGCTTTCACCATATCCCGTTTCTACCACGAGTCTTCAGCCTTTCAGCATTTCTCGTTTCTCCCTTCATCGCATTTCACGCCGAACCGCAGTACGTGACGCAGAGACCAACATTATGGCTGCCGCCTCCTCAGAGCTCTGCACGCTGGAGCGCCTTTGTTCGTCCAACTTCGCGAAGCACCTCATCGCGCCGCTGCAGCGCGCCTCGTCCCTGCTGGGCTCGGGCGAACTGTGGCAGATGCACGCCGACGCGGAGGAGGCAGAGGCCGCCGCCCTCGCCGCTCAAGGCGACGCGGCGGCTTCCGCGCTATGGCCGTGGAAAATGAGCAACGTCGTTGCGCGCCTCGAGACATCGTTGTCGCGCTTCACGCGGAATAAGCCGCCTCCTTCCCCCACCGCCCCGCGCAAGCCGCTGAGATCGCTCAAAGCCGCGAGTATCACCGCCGATCTGCCCGCGCCGTCGCCGAAATCTCCCAGTCCCGTGTCGAGGAGGTTCAAGCAGCGCGGCGCCGCGGAGTCGCAGATTCAGTTCCGCCTCTCCCCGTCTCATCTCGCATTCGTCGCCACCGCCTCTGCGGAACTTGACCTCGCCGCCTCTCGCGGCTCGCGCGATGCAACCAAGGCCACGTGCGAGGAGCCTGTCGGTCGCGTGGCGCCCGCCGCACGTCGCAGCAGAGCGAGCTTGAGTATGGATGAGGGGCAGCTGAGCGCATGGCAGGAGCACGCCCCGGCTACGACATCAGACAACGTTGACGGAGACAGCATTGACAGAAATAACGTTGACGGAAACGACATCGTGGCGTCGAAGAAAGAATCGGAGGTTCTGGATTTGGAAAATTCATTTCGTGTTGACGTGGCAGAGCGGTCTTCCGCGCGATTGGCGCATTCCAGCGCGCGGCGCGCCCAGAGCGGACCGCTGCGGCCGCGGAGCGACAGCAACAGGAGCAGCAGGGTTCCCGGAAGCCCTGTTGCGAGCAACGGCAGCGGGAGGGCCGGCAGCGGCAGGGCTATGGTGGTTGGCGTGTCGCGGTCGCTCACCCCCCCTTCCAGCCCCACCGTTAAGAGGTTCTCCTTCGAGACGTATCGCCAGCAGCAGATGGCCGCGCAATGATGTTTTAGTAGGGCGTTTGCCTAGTTAGTAAATAGTTAGTCCTTGCCGGCTTAAAGCTGGCTTGCATGCCTGTGATTGGTGAAATTCCTGCTGTAATTATTTGAACGGCGCAGAAGCGAAATTTATGTTTCATAGCACGTTCTGAGGAACCACTTAGTATACTCTCAAAAAGAACCAATCGTGACTGCAGAATCAATCAGCTGTCGTGTGATTCAAGTGGGTTGCTCACGGTTTTACACGGTTCTCGCGCGTTACTGCTTTGGAGCGCACAAGACCGAACGAAACCCGGGATATGTTGTCTGCAAAAGGATATGGGAACATCATTTAGGACCAACTCGGTTACATTGCTTCATTGTTTCGACACTCGCTTACTCAAGTATTTAGCGATCTTCGATCCTGACCCGCTCCCATCGCGGCTCGCGGCGTATCCTCCCTCACCAACGTGGTGTGAAAAAATCGCATTTTGCGTGTACGTAGGGATGACCTGTCAGTCGGTCGCCAGGTGGATCGACGGCACTGGTCGCGCCATGACGTCAGCCGCTCGTGTAAATATCGCGCTGGATCACGACATCGTCTTGTCGCGATTCCTGACCGTCAAGTCTAGGTGTTTACGCGATCGTCTAGAATGCCGGCGCAGGGCGGATGTCAGAACTAGCGGGACCGCCGGACGACCGTTTGCGTTGCGCGGAGGCGCTATAAGTTCGATCCGGATCACGGCCGCGCAATCCGACGGCCCTAGTTGTATCAGATCGCCGATACCCGCTGCGATCGAGTTGACCCATAAGCAGACTACTTTTAGGGGGTCTCTATGCTCGCGACCCGCTAATGCGCCTTGCGTCACGAGCGCCATTCACGGCGGTTTGCGATTCGTGCCAGGAATTCCCCCGATTAGCCCCAGTAGCCCGACAGGTCGTGGCTGCGCGATTGGCGCGCAGCGTGCGCTTAGCTGCCGTCGATATAGCACGATCTGCCGGGCGCGGGCGGGAAGCGGGAGCGCGGAGGCACGGGATGGCGCGGCGAGCGGCGCGGATGCGCGCGCGGAAAGGGAGGGGTTCGCGGCGGACGGGATCATCGTTCTGGCGGGCGGACTGAAACGCGACGGCACCGTTCCAGGTGCGCTGCGATTGTTTTAGGTGCGCTGTTGCTGCTCCGTCACCCCTTGGACCTCAACAGCGCTTATGCAATCTTCTCATAATAGTTCCCATCTCACAGCGCTTATGCACCCACTCTTCATTCCCATCTCACCTTCCCCTTTCCCCACGCACCATTTCCACCTCCCTTCCCGTCCCCCTCCCTGTCTCCTCCTCCTTCCCTATCATCCCCCCTCGCGCCGCAGAGCAGAGTGGGTGGTGCGGCGCCTGGATGCGGCGGCAGAGCTTTACCGCGCCATGAACCGGCGGGAGGGGGAGAACACTCACCATTTCCCCTTTCCCTTCCCCTTCCCCTCCCCACCTCGCCCCTCTCCCCGCAGAGCAGAGTGGGTGGCGAGGCGCCTGGATGCAGCGGCGGAGCTCTACCGCGCCATGAGCGGGGGGGAGGGGGAGGGGGAGGATCCCGCCCTGAATGGGGGAGGAGGGCCGGGCGCTGCCATGAATGGGTGGCAGGGGGGCGCCTCCGTCTTCCCCAGCGCACCTTCCAGTGCCTGCCGCTGCCCCATAGTGGTGCTGGGGGCGGGCACGCCGCACGTGCAGCCGGTGCTGAGTCAGCACGGACACATGTGGCATGAGAGCAGCGCGTGCGCACAGTACCTCATGGACAAGGTAGCATCTGGGGCAAGGGGCATTTGGGGCAGGTGGCATTTGGGGCAGGTGGCATTTGGGGCAGGTGGCATTTGGGGCCGGTGGCATTTGGGGCCGGTGGCATTTGGGGCCGGTGGCATTTGGGGCAGGTGGCATTTGGGGCAGGTGGCATTTGGGGCAGGTGGCATTTGGGGCAGGTGGCATTTGGGGCAGGTGGCATTTGGGGCAGGTGGCATTTGGGGCCGGTGGCATTTGGAGCCGGTGGCATTTGGGGCAGGTGGCATTTGGGCCAGGTAGCATCTGGGGCAGGTAACAGTACCTTGTGTTGTGAGTGTGTGAGTGAGAGAGCGAGTGAGTGTCAGTGAGTGTGTGCGAGAGTGCGAGTGAGTATATGAGTGAGATGCGCTGTAGTGCATTCCTATATGTCATGTCTGATCGTGAGTTGACTCAGAAATTCCATTGAGAGTGTCGACTCCCCCTGCCCCCACACTAGTCCCACACACCGTCCCCTCCACACATCTGCTCCCCTCTCCTCCCCCTTACAGCACGGCGTCCCCCCAGCGCACATCTACAAGGAGTGGGCAAACAGCTTCTTCTCTCGAGGCGCCTCATATAGTTCCTTCCCCTCCCCTCCCTCCCCCCACGTTGGATCTCCCCCCACTCCCCTCTCCTCCCCCCCCCTTCTTCCCCAGCACAACATCCCCCCCTCGCACATCTACAAGGAGTGGGCATCATACGACACGGTGGCAAACGGCTTCTTCTCCCTCGTGTGGCACGCGGTGCCGCGGCGCTGGCAGCGCCTGCTCGTGCTCACGTCTGCCTTCCACATGGCGCGCTCCGCCCTCATCTTCGACTGGATCTTCTCCCTCCATGGCTCCGCCCATTCCCACTTGCACTCTCCTCACTCGCCTCCGCTGCTTTCACCCTCCTCCTCCTCCTCCTCCTCCTCCTCCTCCTCCTCCTCCTCCTCCTCCTCCTCCTCCTCCTCCTCCTCCTCCTCCTCCTCCTCCTCCTCCTCCTCCTCCTCCTCCTCCTCCTGCCTCCCCCTCTCCTCCTTGCGGCCACCACACGGCAGGTGGGAGGAGTACATTCCGCCCTGGCGTCAACATGGGGGGAGGGCGGATGGAAGAGAGGAGGGGACTGGGGAAGGTGGATTCAGGGGAGGGCGAACTGCAGGACAGGGTGGGGAGACGGCAGGGGGGAATGGGGCTCTGTTGGGGGATTCACCTGTTCAGGTGGTTTCTCAGGTGGCGTCACCTGGGGATCCGTTGGAGCAGGGCTATGAGATTCGGTTCATCAGCGCATCGGATGCCGGCATTGATCCTGCCATGATTCAGGTGAACGCACTTTTCGCTGCACACACCACCTGCTTGGTTCTGAGGCGCCTCAAAAGCAACCTCACTACGAGATTCGGTTCATCAGTGCATCGCATGCCGGAATCGACCCCGACATGATTCAGGTGAAATGAACTCACACTGCCTTCAGTGGGTGCCCCATCCCGTTCACACTCCACTGCACACACCATCTGCTTGAAATCAGCATGTCACCTGCATGTCATGTGGGCGGCATCACTGTTTGCAGTATGGAATCACGGCACTTCCATCCAGATCTCCTCTCCTCTCCCTCTTCCCTTGCAGCTGCGCTGTAGGCTGTAGCAACGAGGCGGACAGCATTCGCCTGCTGATGGCAGGCACACCACATCTGCATCTTCTCCCCGGTTCGTCCTGGTCCTCAGCATTCGCCTGCTGCTGCCCCACATAGCGTCAGTGCGCTCCCTGCCAGCCTTCCACCATTACATGCACACACTAACCAACCTTCACATTCCCCTCCTTGTCCTCTCAATCCCCCCCCAGGCCCGGCAAAGAAAAGAAGCAGACAGTATTCGATTGCTGCTGCCCTACGTAGCATCAGTGCACTCCCTGCCGGCCTTCTACCCCTACATGCACATGGAGCATCCTTCCCAACACTCTCCTCCTCTCAATCCCCCTCCCTCCCAGGCCCGGCAACGCAAGGAAGCAGACAGCATTCGCCTGCTGCTGCCTTACATTGCTTCAGTGCGCTCCCTGCCAGCCTTCCACCACTACCTACACACACAGCACAGGGCATACAACGTGCAGCACCAGGAGGAGTTTGGGCGGGTGAAGAGTGCAGAGGAGGCCACGTTTGATCCCATCAAGCTGTGCTATTGAAGGGGTGTGGAGAGGGATGTGGATGGGTGGTACGAGGTTGAACAGTGAGGCTGCAGAGTCTGCCAGCCTTCCACCATTACATGCACACGGAGCACCGAGCATACAACGTGCTGCACCAAGGGGATTTTGGGCGGGTGAAGAGTGTCGAGGAGGCCACGTTTGATCCCATCAAGCTGTGCTATTGAAGGGGTGTGGTGAGGTGTGGATGGGTTGTATGCGGTTGAACAGAGAGGCTGCAGAGAGTCTGCCAGCCTTCCACCATTACATGCACACGGAGCACGGGGCTATGATGTGCAGCATCAGGAGGAGTTTGGGTGGGTGAAGGGCGCAGAGGAGGCAACGTTTGATCCCATCAAGCTGTGCTATTAAGGGTGTGTTAGGGTGTGGATTGGTTGTATGCGGTTGAACAGAAAGGCCGCAGAGAATCTGCCAGCATTCCACCATTACATGCACATGCAGCACACAGAAGAGGAGGGGGGGGGGGGTGTCGGGCGGGTGAAGAGTGGGTAGGAGGCGACGTTTGATCCTGTGCTACTGAAGGGGTGTGGAGGGATGTGGATGGGTGGTGCATGGTCGAAGAGAAAGGCTGCAGAGGGTTTGCCAGCTCTCCACCAGTACATGCACACGGAGCACAGAGCATACAACGTGCAGCACCAGGAGTTTGGGCGGGTGAAGGGTAAGAGTGCCGCGGAGGCAACGTTTGATCCGATCAAGCTGTGCTACTGAAGGGGCGTGGTGAGGTGTGGATGGGTTGTGCGTGGTTGAACAGAGAGGCCTGCCAGCCTTCCACCATTGCATGCACATGCAGCACCGAGCATACAATGTGCAGCACCAGCGGGAGTTTGGGCGGTTGAAGGTGAAGAGTGCAGAGGAGGCGACGTTTGATCCAATGAAGCTGTGATATTGAAGACGTTTCAGTGATGGCTGCGTTTTTCACCCTCATTTTCCAGTGCTGCGTGGATCGGTTTACTCGTGCATCAGTGCACAAACTTGTTTGAATGCTGAGCTATCAGTGTATTTTTCCATATGCAAAGAAGTGGTTTAGTTAGCATGTTACTCTTGATATGACAGTTTCAAGTCCTCCCTGTTCGAGCAAAGACAAGGGAACAAAAGTAGACAAAAGGGAACCTAATGCTCCTTTTCAAGTCATATCCCTATCGTCCAAAGTCAACATTTTTTTTGCCTAGCTATGTCCCCTTCCCTTACCTGTACCTCCATGTCCCCTTCCCTCCCCATGCACCCGCGTCGCGTCACCCTCTTCCTCACTCCTCATCTCCCCTCACACTTCTCTCACCTTTGTTCAGTCAATTCCTTTGGTCTCATGCCAGGTTCCTCGTGGCTGCTTTCTAATACCTCACTCCAGCTGCTGTCTGTGTGACTCTTTGCCTGGCTGGCTTTATCTGTGTGACTGCTTGCCTTTGCAGCATCTCATTTGACCAATCAGTGAGTTCGCCCTCTGTGACTGCTCATATAGAGCATCATCACATCTGCGTCTCATCTCTTCTCTCCTCTGCTGTCGTACACCATCAATTTAGTCACTAACAATTTCAGAATTACATATTGATGCTCCATACTGATATCAGTACCGTAATTATGATCCAGCGGAAATATTTCAGTATCGAATATCCAACCAAAGGGTCCACATTCACTAGAAGTTCCATTTACTGATCTCAGTATCAAATATTTACTGATCTGATTGAGAACTTCATATTGTAGTACTGCTATACCAAATAATATACTATTGTACTACCCATGCACTGGATGTATGCATGGGAGGTTCCTCTTGGCCGCCAGGAGCAGAGCTCCTGACGTTACACCCAAGCACCGCGGTGAGGTGGGAACCATCGCTTGGGACCCTGTTGGAGGGGGGGGGGGGGGGGGGGGGGGGGAGGAAAGAGAAAAAACAGAATGCATACTGCCCGGGGGCAGATGAAAATCATCCTCAAAGCAGGTGCTGCCCATCCTTGCTCCCCAGTCTTGCTGCCTGACCAGCTGGTGTAATTTTGCTCACTGCAGCTAGGCTGCTGTGAGGAACAACAGAAATGGGTTTTGAGGCGTCTCCCAAAACCCAGAGTTTGCTCACTGCAGCGACTCTGCAGTGAGGAGCACACGAGTTTTGAGACGTCTCCCAAAACTCAGGGACCAACGGACTGACGGAACGGAAACAGAACGACAAGCTGCAGTGCACTGCAGTGAACAGAACAGAACCACCACCGGCAGTTCACAGTCTGTCTTGAGGCGCCTCAAGAACAGCACACAAGGACCTCACCCCTCACCCCTCACCCCTCACCCCCCACCCCTCACCCCTCACCCCTCCCTGAGCCCCATACTCCCGTGTGAAAGCAGGCGCTGCTGGTGACAGCTGCTGCTCCCTCCTCCGCACTGCAACACGCCTCCATCCGCCCTGCCATACATGAATGCAAGAGGGGGATCTACGGAAAGAAATATTATTTGCTGGTGAAGACGTGAGCGAAAACAAAATGCCAAACACAAAACAGAAATCGAAACATGCGACAAGGAAACGAAAAGCATGCGTAAACATGCAATACGGAAAATGTTCCCCTCCCTGAGCCCCATACTCCCTTCTGAAAGAAGGCTGCTGATGCTGCTGGTGCTGCTGCTCCCTCCTTCACACTCCAACCCGTGTAGCTGCTGCTGCCGCGCCTCCCTTTCTGCAGAACAGGAACGCAAGAGGGGGGAGCTAAGGAAAGAAAGATAAGTGGCTGGTCAAGAGAAAGCAAAAAACGAAACAGAAATCGAAACATCCGACAAGGAGACGAAACGCATGCGGAAACAGAGCGGAAATTGATTCCCTCCCTGAGCCCCATACTCCCTTCTGAAAGAAGGCTGCGGGTGCTGCTGGTGCTGCTGCTCCCCCCTTCGCACTCCAACCCGTGTAGCTGCTGCTGCCGCGCCTCCCTTTCTGCAGAACAGGAACGCAAGAGGGGGGAGCTAAGGAAAGAAAGATAAGTGGCTGGTCAAGAGAAAGCAAAAAACGAAACAGAAATTGAAACATGCGACAAGGAAACGAAACGCATGCGGAAAAAGAGCGGAAATTGATTCCCTCCCTGAGCCCCATACTCCCTTCTGAAAGAAGGCTGCGGGTGCTGCTGGTGCTGCTGCTCCCCCCTTCGCACTCCAACCCGTGTAGCTGCTGCTGCCGCGCCTCCCTTTCTGCAGAACAGGAACGCAAGAGGGGGGAGCTAAGGAAAGAAAGATAAGTGGTGGTCAAGAGAAAGCAAAAAACGAAACAGAAATTGAAACATGCGACAAGGAAACGAAACGCATGCGGAAAAAGAGCGGAAATTGATTCTCTCCCTGAGCCCCATACTCCCTTCTGAAAGAAGGCTGCGGGTGCTGCTGGTGCTGCTGCTCCCTCCTTCGCACTCCAACCCGAGTAGCTGCTGCTGCCGCGCCTCCCTTTCTGCAGAACAGGTACGCAAGAGGGGGGAGCTAAGGAAAGAAAGATAAGTGGCTGGTCAAGAGAAAGCAAAAAACGAAACAGACATTGAAACATGCGACAAGGAAACAAAACGCATGCGGAAACAGAGCGGAAATTGATTCCCTCCCTGAGCCCCATACTCCCTTCTGAAAGAAGGCTGCTGGTGCTGCTGGTGCTGCTGCTCCCTCCTTCGCACTCCAACCCGAGTGGCTGCTGCTGCCGCGCCTCACTTTCTGCAGAACAGGAACGCAAGAGGGGGGAGCTAAGGAAAGAAAGATAAGTGGCTGGTCAAGAGAAAGCAAAAAACGAAACAGAAATTGAAGCATGCGACAAGGGAACGAAACGCATGCGGAAACAGAGAGGAAATTGGTTCCCTCCCTGAGCCCCATACTCCCTTCTGAAAGAAGGCTGCGGGTGCTGCTGGTGCTGCTGCTCCCTCCTTCGCACTCCAACCCGAGTAGCTGCTGCTGCCGCGCCTCCCTTTCTGCAGAACAGGAACGCAAGAGGGGGGGAGCTAAGGAAAGAAAGATAAGTGGCTGGTCAAGAGAAAGCAAAAAACGAAACAGAAATTGAAACATGCGACAAGGAAACGAAACGAATGCGAAAACAGAGCGGAAATTGGTTCCCCTCCCTGAGCCCCATACTCCCTTCTGAAAGAAGGCGCTGCTGGTGACAGCTGCTGCTCCCTCCCCCTCCGCACCGCACTCCAACCCGCCTCCCTCCTCCCTCCCACCCGTGTAGCTGCTGATGCCGCGCCTCCCGCTCTTCAGCCGCCCCCACCAGCTCTCCACTACGCCATGATGCGCCCTGTCATAGAGGATTGCAAGAGGGTGATCTAAGGAAAGAAAGATAAGTGGCTGGTGAAGATGTGAATGACAAGAGAATGCAAAAAACAAAGCAGAAAGTGAAACATGCGACAAGGGGGGATCTGAGGAAACAAAGATAAGTTGGTGGTGAGGGTGGAAGGGAAAACAGAATGCAAAACGAAAACGAAACACGCAACAAGGAAATAAACAAGAAAACAAGAAACAAGAAGTTGTTCTCCTCGGACCCATACTCCCTTCTCATGGCAGGCGTTGCTGATGGCACCGCACTGCACTCCCTCGGACCCATCCATACTCCCTTCTCAAGGCAAGTGCTGCTGATGGCACCACACTGCACTCCCTCGGACCCAAACTCCCTTCTCATGGCAGGCGCTGCTGATGGCACCGCACTGCACTCCCTCAGACCCATCCATACTCCCTTCTCAAGGCATGCGCTGCTGATGGCACCACACTGCACTCCTTTGGACCCATCCATACTCCCTTCTCAAGGCAGGCGCTGCTGATGGCACCGCACTGCACTCCCTCGGACCCATACTCACTTCTCATGGCAGGCGTTGCTGATGGCACCACACTCAGAGGATCACCACACCCAGACACACACTTACCGCGGCTCAGCTGGGCAAGAGGGAGAGTGGGTACTAACGAGAGGGGGGGCCAACCCACAATCGAAAGTACACCACTCAGCACGCTGTCTCCGCAGCTCCGCTCGGCAAGAGGGAGAGTGAGAACCAAAGAGAGGGGCGGCCAACCCCACTCTGAGGATCACCACCCCCCAGACACACACTTACCGCGGCTCAGCTGGGCAAGAGGGAGAGTGGGTACTAACGAGAGGGGGGGCCAACCCACAATCGAAAGTACACCACTCAGCACGCTCTCTCCGCAGCTCCGCTCGACAAGAAGGAGAGTGAGAACCAAAGAGAGGGGCGGCCAACCCCAGTCAGAGGATCACCACCCCCCAGACACACACTTACCGCGGCTCAGCTGGGCAAGAGGGAGAGTGGGTACTAACGAGAGGGGGGGCCAACCCACAATCGAAAGTACACCACTCAGCACGCTCTCTCCGCAGCTCCGCTCGGCAAGAGGGAGAGTGAGAACCAAAGAGAGGGGCGGCCAACCCCAGTCAGAGGATCACCACCCCCCAGACACACACTTACCGCGGCTCAGCTGGGCAAGAGGGAGAGTGGGTACTAACGAGAGGGGGGGGGGGAACCCACAATCGAAAGTACACCACTCAGCACGCTCTCTTCGCAGCTCCGCTCGGCAAGAGGGAGAGTGAGAACCAAAGAGAGGGGCGGCCAACCCCACTCTGAGGATCACCACCCCCCAGACACACACTTACCGCGGCTCAGCTGGGCAAGAGGGAGAGTGGGTACTAACGAGAGGGGGGGCCAACCCACAATCGAAAGTACACCACTCAGCACGCTCTCTTCGCAGCTCCGCTCGGCAAGAGGGAGAGTGAGAACCAAAGAGAGGGGCGGCCAACCCCACTCTGAGGATCACCACCCCCCAGACACACACTTACCGCGGCTCAGCTGGGCAAGAGGGAGAGTGGATACTAACGAGAGGGGGGGGGCAACCCACAAGCGAAAGTACACCACCCAGACACACGTTTACCGCAGCTCAGAGGAGAGCAACCAATCAAAGGAGAGCATCCAGACACAACTTACCGTGGCTCAGCCTGGCAAGAGGGAGAGTGAGATCCAAACGAGAGGGAGTCCCCACCCCCAATCGTTTAAGGAACACCACTCAGACAAACTCTTCGTGAGCTTTACTCCTTTCCACATGACAACATCTCCCTCCAAGTACCCCCTCCATCAGCTTATCCGCCTTTCCTTCTCGCACCTCCATCCTCATCGCCTCGCGTGCCGCCAGCAAGCGGGTGGTCAGCAGGGCGGGTGGTCAGCAGGGCGGGTAGGAGGCAGCCACATGCCAGTGGCTGCCGGCCGTGCGTCATCCCACCTCTCTCGCTCCTCTTGTTCCATCCGCCGCGCTTTGGGCCCGCCTGAGAGAGCGTCCACCCACGAATTGCGCCCACAAGTTTCAATCCACCCACGGATTGCGTCTCGCCTCGCCTCGCCTCGCCTCGCCTCGCCTCGCCTCGCCTCGCCTCGCCTCGGTGCCTCGACTCTCCTAGCCTCGCCTCACTTCGCCTTGCCTCGCCTTGCACTCACATCCAGAGGTCGTAGGAGTTGCACTCACATTCAGAGGAGACGGTCGTAGAAGTTGCGATCACAACAATCGTCGACAGAAACATGAGAAACAAGTCGGCAAACCTGCTGCTGATGCACTCACATCCAATCCAGAGAAGGTGTCAATGTCGCCTCTGTCAAGAGCGTCGGTGAGAGACAGTGAGGTGGCAAGGGTATGGAAGCTCACTGGGGGAGCAAGTGTCGGTGACGGTGTTGACTGCCCTCCATGCTGCCGCTTCCCTGCCGACCTGCCAAAGCAGAGACTTACAGTGTCGGTGACGGTGTTGACTGCCCTCCTCGCCAGAAGTGCCGTCTCATCGCCGCCTCCTCCTCGCACCACACCATACCATATCCACACCGCACTACACCTCTGCTGAAGTGCCGCCGCCTTGCCTCCGCGCCTCCTTGCCCGAAGTGCCCGCTCCCCCCTCCTTACTACCACACCACACCGCACCACACCACACCACACCACACCACACCAAAACCAGAGGCTTACAGTGTCGACGGTGGGAAGGGGTTGAGGACGGAGTGCAGGTCAGGTTGGGCGTGAGAGGCGGGAAGAGGAGGTGCGTGGAGGGCAGTGCTGAAGAATGAGGACGTGGAGCAGCAATGGGCGGGGCCACCCGTGAGGAGGACTTACGAGAGGGGGCACCACCCTCTCTGCCTCAACACGTTTCCCACAGCTACTCTCCGTTTTTCATTCCCACAGCATCCCAGTCATGCATCCCCTCGTCCAACCCATCAACCACTCCCTCACGTTCCTCCGCCTCACCCCTTGCCGGACGTGCTGCCTCCTCGCCTCAAGCGCTGCCTCCTCGCCACCTCGTCCCCTCACCTGAAGTGCCGCCTGGTTGCCTCCTCCTCCTTTCCCCAAGTGTCCTCCTTGCCTCGAGCCCCAAGAGTCGCATGCTTACCTCCTTGCCCCAAGTGTCCTCCTTGCCTTGAGCGGGTGGTCAGCAGGGCGAGTAGGAGGCAGCCACACGCCAGTGGCTGCCGGCCGTGCGTCATCCCACCACGCTCGCCCGTCCTCCTCCCTCCACCACACCACACAAAACCACTCCATACCAGACCACACCATACCAGACCACACAGCACTACAAGTGTCCGCCTCCTCTTCATGCCGCACCATACCGTTCCACACCGCACTACACCTCTGCTGAAGTGCCGCCTCCTTGCCTCTGCGCCAGCTCGTTGCCCAAAGTGTCCGCCTCCTCCTCATGCCGCACCATACCATTCCACACCGCACTACACCTCTGCTGAAGTGCCGCCTCCTTGCCTCCGCGCCAGCTCGTTGCCCGAAGTGTCCGCCTCCTCCTCATGCCGCACCATACCATTCCACACCGCACTACACCTCTGCTGAAGTGCCGCCTCCTTGCCTCCGCGCCGGCTTGTTTCCCAAAGTGTCCGCCTCCTCCTCATGCCGCACCATACCATTCCACACCGCACTACACCTCTGCTGAAGTGCCGCCTCCTTGCCTCCGCGCCTCCTTTCCCGAAGTGCCTGCCTCGAGCAGAGCGGGTGGTCAGCAGGGCGGGTAGGAGGCAGCCGTGTGGCTGCTAGCCGTGTGTCATCCCACCGCTCGCTTCTCCCTCTCACTGCTGCCGTCCTCCCGAGTCGCTGCTGCCGTCCTCTGCAGGCGCCTCTGCTCCTCCCGAGTGAAGAACCCATGGTTGCTGAAAAACAGGGGGAGGGAACGCACAGACAGATGCACGAAGTCAGTAAACAGAACCGCGAAATGAAAATAAAGCAATACAAACACAAGGAAACGAAATGCGGAATTGAAAGCGAAAAAATGATGTGTGAAATTGAAAGCGGAGAACAATACGTGGAAACGAGATGGTGGGAATGTGCACGTCCATGATACGCCGGCTGCAGCTAGCAGAGGGAGGAGCTATGCTACCCAAAACCCAAACTCTATGCTAGCCAACCCAAAATCTATGCTACCCAAAACCCGCAGAGGACATCTACTAGGCTGCAGCCGAACGTATCAGAGGGACGTGCACAAACGCGAAATGCAGGACGATGGAGCGAAGAACGAGGTGCGGGAAACACGGAATGACAAAAAAAAACGAATGGAGGGTGACGAGAAGGGAAGGCGAGGGGAAAGACACTTCCCAGTTACTTTGCTGGCCACGAGATGGCAGTGTTGCCTTGCTGCTCCATGAGCGGTTGGTCAGCAGGGCGGGTAGAGGCAGCCCCACGCCAGTGGCTGCCGGCCGTGCGTCATCCCACCGCGCCCGTCCACCTCAGCAAAATGCCCGTCCACCTCAGCAGCGCCAGGATCAGCCAGCAGCACTCCAGCAGCGCCAGGATCAGCCAGCAGCACTCCAGCAGCGCCAGGATCAGCCAGCAGCACTCCAGCAGCGCCAGGATCAGCCAGCAGCACTCCAGCAGCGCCAGGATCAGCCAGCAGCACTCCAGCAGCGCCAGGATCAGCCAGCAGCACTCCAGCAGCGCCAGGATCAGCCAGCAGCACTCCAGCAGCGCCAGGATCAGCCAGCAGCACTCCAGCAGCGCCAGGATCAGCCAGCAGCACTCCAGCAGCGCCAGGATCAGCCAGCAGCACTCCAGCAGCGCCAGGATCAGCCAGCAGCACTCCAGCAGCGCCAGGATCAGCCAGCAGCACTCCAGCAGCGCCAGGATCAGCCAGCAGCACCGCCTCCCTCCACCAGCAGCACCGCCTCCTCGCCCTCAGCAGCACGCGGGTGGTTAGCAGGGCCCGGCGCGTGGGGGGCAGCCACACGCCTGTGAGCTGCCGGCCGTGCGTCATCCCACCACGCTTGCCCTCCCCTTGCGTGCGCGCCGCCCGCAACCCGTCCTCTCCCCTTGCAAGTGCGCGGCCTTGAAGGTCGCCCTGAAAAACAGCGAAGGGAGGCATAGAGCAGAGGACGATAAGAAGCTGGAGGGATGGGTGCACAAGGCACCAAGACAAAGGATGCGCGCCATGATCATGATGTTGCACAAAGAATGCGTTGGAATGTCAAACAGCAACAGTGGCAAGAAGGATGGACAAGGATGAGGCAGCAGCAGTGCCAAACAAGATAGAGAGAGACGAAAACATTGCAGCGTTTGAAAGATTAACTGGGGGGACCTTCTGTTATACCAGCCTTAACCGGGGGGACCTGCTGTTATACCTTGCAAACCGGCCGATGCACTCACATCCAAAGACGGTGGTGGGTGTCGCCTCTACCAAGAGTGTTGACAAAGAAAAAAAAACAGCAAGAGAGCTAAAGAGAGAGAGTAAAGACCTAAGAAAAACTCACATCCATAAAGGGTGGTGGCCGTGGGAGTCGTCAATATCAAGAAAAAAGCGAAAGACAGCGAGATACATGAAGAGAAAGAGTGAGAAAGCAAGGGTGAGGGAACTCAGTTATATCTGTTGTCAGCTGCAGGCCTTCACTGAACCGTCTTCACTGCTCTTCACCGCGCCAGCCGCACGCCTTCACCGCTGTTCACCGCGCCAGCCGAACGCCTTCACCGCTGTTCACCGCGCCAGCCGCACGCCTTCACCGCTGTTCACCGCGCCAGCCGCACGCCTTCACCGCTGTTCACCGCGCCAGCCGCACGCCTTCACCGCTGTTCACCGCGCCAGCCGCATGCCTTCACCGCTGTTCACCGCGCCAGCCGCACGCCTTCACCGCTGTTCACCGCGCCAGCCGCACGCCTTCACCGCTGTTCACCGCGCCAGCCATGGGACGTCGCCAGCATCCGTGCACAGTCGCATGCAGTATGTCGCCAGCATCTCCGCACAGTCGCATGCAGTATGTCGCCAGCATCCGCACAATGTAGACGCGGAAGGTAGCATGCAGTTGGTCGCCGACTTCCGCACACGTAGCACGCGGTACGTCGCCATCATCCGCACAGAGTCGCGCGTGGTAAATCGCACGGCCTCGCAGTCGCCATCTTCCGCACAGGGACGCGCGCGGTATGTCGCATGCCGTTCGTCGCACATCGTCGCATGCATCCGCACAGCGCGCCGGCACGCGGAACCTCGCACGCGGTAAGTCGCCATCATCCGCACACCGTCGCACGGCGGGGAACTTTGCAAGCGATACGTCGCATGCCGTTCGTCGCACATCGTCGCGCCATGTCGCCCAGCATCCGCACGGCGCCGCATGCGGAATGTCGCACGCGATAAGTCGCCATCTTCCGCACACCGTACGCGGTTGGCCGCCGTCTTCCGCACACGGCCACACACCGTCGCACAGGGAACGTCGTACGCGGTTCGTCGCCATCTTCCGCACATCGTCGCATGCAGTATGTAGCCAACATCCGCACAACGTCGCTCGCGGAAGGTCGCACGCAGTGGGTCGCCGCCTTCCGCATGGTTGCGCGTAATTCGTAACTTGCCGCTACATGATCGCCGCACGTTGCCAGCTGCTCACTGACGTCGCTAGCCGTTCGCCGTTCGACATTCGCTAGTCGTTTGCCGCAGGGTGCTGCTTCACGTATCATAATGCCTTGACTTCACGTTCGGCTTTCGGCGACCACAGCAGCCATAGTTGGATGTACGACTATATCGGAACGACGCTTAAACGAAACGGAAACGACATACGCTTCAACTAGAGCGGTGGAAAACCTTATCAGGAAAGAACCGTCAGGAATCATGTTGATGAGCTGAAAACCATCGGTTAATCATCAGTTTACCAGAATCTAGACGCTGAAACTCAACGTGGTAGTGCTCGCTGAAACTAACACAGTGAAATTGCCTTAGCGATTACGAATAATAGCTACCGCGGTTATAAGCTAAGAGGCAAGCAGTTAACATCAGCCTCCCACTGGATTAGGCTTTTCTAGATAAGCTACTACTGTCACTCGTAAACCAATCATAGTCTTCCTTTCCCAACCAAGTGTTAAACACTAGTACATATGAGACGCGAGCTTTAAGAATATGATATAATCGTAGTAAGCTACATCTTTGAGAGATTTCGACAGCAGTCATGGCGAGCTGAGACAGCCATGGAAACAAAGCACGAGCTAAAGCTGACTAGAGAGAATCAGTGACATGAATGAAGGAACTGGAGAATTCGGCAGAGGTGACTGGAATGGCCTTGGGAATGTCGCCGGGTTGACTTGGTCTCTGGGTGGCTGCATGCTCTTGCTGGAGGGGGGCGACTACGGGCGAAAGGGAGTCGCCAAAACAAAGGCTTCCGCTGGTCTCCGCCCGCCACAGGCGAAAGGGAGTCTGCCAGTGTTTTCTGCTAGAGGGGGGAAATGGCGGAAGCGACGGAGTCAGCGGCGCGACCGAAAGTATTGACGAGGAATCAACTTGTTTTCGCCAAAACGGAAAGCATACTGCGAACGTAGTGCGTGGCTTCTGCGAAGGGTAACGATGCTTTGTGTCGTCAAGCTCTGACAACTTTCCGACTTCCGGAAGTTTATGTTTTTGAAAGGGATCAGCAGAGGGCACATAGAAAGGGATGTGTTGTTGTTCACGTTATTACGGTACTCAGAGAGTGGTGGGGTCCAGCAATCAGAGCAGGGGTGGCACCACCCATTGCAGCACAGAGCGTGAAGGAAGGGTGGTGGGATCAGCAGAGGGCACATAGAAAGGGATGTGTTGTTGTTCACGTTATTACGGTACTCAGAGAGTGGTGGGGTCCAGCAATCAGAGCAGGGGTGGCACCACCCATTGCAGCACAGAGCGTGAAGGAAGGGTGGTGGGATCAGCAGAGGGCACATAGAAAGGGATGTGTTGTTGTTCACGTTATTACGGTACTCAGAGAGTGGTGGGGTCCAGCAATCAGAGCAGGGGTGGCACCACCCATTGCAGCACAGAGCGTGAAGGAAGGGTGGTGGGATCAGCAGAGGGCACATAGAAAGGGATGTGTTGTTGTTCACGTTATTGCGGTACTCAGAGAGTGGTGGGTTCCAGCAATCAGAGCAGGGGCGGCACCACCCATAGCAGCACAGAGCCTGAAGGAAGGGTGGTGGGATCAGCAGCAATGGCATGGAATAGTTGGGTTGGGTTATCTATTGTTGACTTGGCTACTCAGGGAGTGTGTGGATCCAGCAATCAAGCACCACCCGTGGCAGCGCACAGCCTGATTGGGTGGTGGGATCAATATTTGCATAAGATGGTGGTGTTTCCACTCATGAAAAACGAGTACAAACAAATAAGCAAACAAAGATGAGGAGCAGGAAGAGAGGAGAGGGAAGAGAGGCGAAGGAAGAAAAGAAAAGGAAAGTGGGAAAGGAGAGAGGAAATGGAAGAGAGTAAAAGCAACGAGACGAAAACAAAGAGAGGAAATTGAAGAGAGTAAAAGCAAAGAGAAGAAAGCAATGAGAGGAAATGGAAGAGAGTAAAAGCAAAGAGATGAAAACAAAGAGAGGAAAAGAAGGAGAGGAGAGGCAAGAGGATGACACGATTAAAGGACAGAGAGTGAAGGCAGCATGGGAACAGGGGATTGCACAGCTTGAAACGTACCTCGGGCGAGGGAAGGAACGAAAGAAACTAAAAAACGTACCTCCGTAGCAACTTTTCCTTGTCTATGGTTCTTGGCACGTATTGATCCTCCCCGGATAGCATCACCTGAGTGGATGGATGGGAAGATGGAGCATGGATGGGAGGGAGCACGGTGCACGGATAGAAGCACGGATGGGAGTATGGAGAATGGAGAGTCCGAACACACAGTCCCACAACATCTCCGCTCTCCAGGCACGGCCATGCGCCCATGTGCCCCAACCACCCCTTCAACTCCCCATCCGACAGGTCTGAGCTGAGCTGAACATGTCATCATCCCCTCCCATGCCTGGTTGGAACCCAACCCAGGAGATCCCACACATAATGCCACACTATCTCGCCATGCACTGCCACTGCCAGCACCAGCACTGTCTCACCAAGCACGGCCATGCCCCCAAGTGCCCCACTGTTTCCTTCAACTCACCACAGGACCTCACCTCTGTCAAACATTGCATGTTTATATTGTCTAGGCTGTAGTGGGTTACACCTTAGGGGGTACACAAAGTTAGGGTTTCCTACTTGTACCAAACTCTGTTCTAGTTCATTCATTCCTGCTCAGTTATTTCTGACATGGTATCAGAGCAGGTCCTTCGCTAGGACTGTTCTTAGGGCCCACCTACCTACCTACCTACCTACTTACCTTCGCTTGTTTCCGGCCCCGCTGGCCCCGTCGATCTAGCACGATCTAGCGGCCCTGCGGCCCCGTCGAAATTTTTTTTTTTTTTTTTTTTTTTTCCTAGCGGCCTCTCACGGCCCCCGTCGCGTCGCCCCTTAGCGCCCCGATCGGCCCCGTCACGCCGCCCGCGAACCGCACAGCGCGCCGCGCTCACAGCCCGCGAACCGCCCGCGCACAGCCCGCGACCAGCCCGCGCAGCCCGCGCACAGCCCGCGAACTGCCCGCGAGCAGCCCGCGACCTGCCCGCGAACCCCCGCGAGCCGCCCGCGACCCGCTTACGCAGCCCGCGAGCAGCCCGCACAGCCCGCGCTGAGCCTGCGCGGCTCGTGCGCTGACCGCCGCCGGCCCGCACGCTGCCCGCACTGCTCCCGGCCCGCCGCTGCTGAGCCCGCAGCCGCCCGCGCACCGCCGCTGCTGAACCCGCCGCCGCCCGCGCACCGCCGCTGCTGAGCCCGCCGCCGCCCGCGCACCGCCGCTGCTGCGCCCGCTGCCGCCTGCGTATCACCGCTGCTGAGCCCGCCCCTGCTGCGCCGGCTCTCGCTGCCGCCTGCTGCGCCTGTGCACCACTACACTTCCTGCTACTACTGCTTGTGCGCCACTACAGTCCGTAGGCCCCACCGGCCCCGCTGACCCTGCGCACGCCTTTTCAGTGACTTTACTGCTTCTACTTCTGCCGCTGTCGCTATGGCTAGTCCTCCTGTTCTAGCTTTCGACGCCGAGGGCCGTCCGGTCAAATTCG